TCTCTCTCTCTCTCTCTCTGTCTCTCTCTCTCTGTCTCTCTCTCTCTCCCCCCCCTTTCACCTCTCTCTGTCAGATAGCTGGGGGCAACGCTTGCCATGCAAGGGAGCGGATCACAGATTTCTGGGATTCGGACGTGGGCGTCATGTCCGCGGGCCCCTCCCTGGGGCTCGCGCTCCCGTGCGCCACAGCACCGGCTCCTCTGGACGCTACCTCGCAAGCCTCTCTCGTTCCCGACCCCCAGCGGGGCTCCACCCTTCTCAGGACAGCCCCGCCTCTGCCTCTTCTGCCCCGCCCCATCAGACGCCAGAAATAGTCATGCTGCAGACTCCTGACTGTATTCCTAGAAACCGCAAGCTCTCTGCACACATTTTTCAGTTTTGTGTTTTTCTTCCCATGACATGTATTCTGAGTCATCTTGCTGACTGCTTTCTAACCACAGGATTCCTGTGTGCATCGAGATTTGGAACCAGACAGGCAAGCGTGACGCAGGGTAGCATGTGCTTAATCGAAAATGTCCAGGCACCCTACATCAGCCGGAACAGGCAAAACTTCTCTTTTACAAATAAATGTGCAATTGAAACCCGTTTTCGTCAAAGAAGCCCTCAGTTTCTTAAGTCAGTGACTAAGTTCATACACTGTGGCAAGAGTCCCACGTGGGTACGAACCACATTAATTGTCACCAGGCAACAGAGGCCGAGTCAGTGCGTGAGCGGTGTCGTAAAAGCTGGAAACCGAAGAACGTGGGCCGTTTGGTCACCCAGGCACCAGGCAGGGCTAAGCTTCCCTTCCCCACACCTGCTTGGTGACAGTCTCGACACAAGCAACGATTTTGTTTCAGCGCGTGTTGTTTCACGGGACAGACCTTCTGTCTGGGGAGATGACAAAGTTCTCGAGATGGTTGGGATGGTGGTTGACAACATTGTGAGTGAAGAGGGTGAATTTTATGTTGTGTATTATTTTACCACAAGTTTTAGAATCATCCTTCACATTAAATTAACCATTTAATTATATTATTAATCTAAACTGTATTCGTTTCGTGGGCTTCCCTCTGTCTAATTTGAATTTTATTGGCGTTTTATAAGTTACGAGGGCTATAGGAGCATAAGCGTGTCTCCGGCCTATGTGTGTGTTGAAGTGACATTATTACAGATAAAACCTTGTCCATCCCTGGGAGTCTGAGTCCCTGTTACTCCTTCCAGCGGGGTTTCCAGCTGGAGACACCCATGTGCAGGGTACCCAGACCGCTCTGGGCAAGTCCTGGGGCTCAGCATCATGAGGAACAGGAGGGGCGCCGGGCCCTATGCAACTTGCTCCCCAAATGCCCACCTCCTGGGGGGCCAAGGACCGGCTCAGACACCCAGTGTGATGAGGCCTCGCCTGACCCCCGCCACCCGAAGAGGACCCCCCCACCGGCCCTGGTCGTGCCCCACCAGGCGCGGCTTCCTCATCACCGTGGCTTCCAGAGCTGCCCAGCGGCTCTAAGGGCAGAGGCTCACTGTGCCCGCTGAGTAGGTGAGTGAACTGCGATGACAAAAGACCAGGTCCAGGGGCCCCAGGGCAGAGACCAGGCTGCCTCTCCGCCCATCGTGCCTGGCCGTGACCGAGACCCAGGATTTGCCCTTCACGCCGCCTAGTCCCAGCAAGAGGTCCACCACGGACCCTAGGGTGGCTCCCCCACCCCCTGAATCGCCACCGGCCACCCCAAGAGTCCCCTCCCCGGGCAGGGTTGATGCCACGTGCACAAGAACACACACCTCTTGGCTCTGGGAGCTCTGAAACGTGTGGTCCGTTCACGCACCCACCCACGCATCCACACCTTCATTCAGTAGGTTCTCAGCCAAGGGCCAGAGGCTCAGGTGGGGCGGTGGGGAGGGGCCCTTCGCCTCCCTCTAGCTGGTGACCGCACAGTGGGGCCCCACCTCCCTTTCTCACCTGGCAGGACCAGCCCTCTCCCAGTTGCTGCAGGCTCCAAGAAGATGAGTGATGGTGAGTGGCTGGGAGTTGCTTTCACATGGTAAAGACCACGATGTCATTACTGTAATTATTCCGGAGTGACGGCACGTGTTTAAAATGACTCGCCTTTACGCCAACTTGACTGGGTATGAAACTCTTCGATCATACGTTCATTCCCTAAGGTCTTTGGAGGCATCGGATCATACCTGGGGAACCTGCCCCAGTGCCTGTCACCGAGGAGCACCTGACCCAGGCCCAGCCGCCGATCCTACTGTGAGAAAGGGGAGTCCTCTGTCATCTGGTCCCGCTGATGTCGTCTGCAGCCCAGACCATAAACCAAGGACCGTGGAAGTTCAAGTGAACGTAAGTAGACGGACAAGCCTAAGAGACCAACTCTTCTTCCTCACACAGTGGGGGACCCTGTAGAGGCAAAGGAGAACAGAATTAATAAGGTAGATGTAATAGGGACACAGTGAGCAGTGCCGTGAGAGGCACGGCATCCCCTGCAGCCAACTGCCCGGGTTCAAACCCTGGCTGTATTTAGCGGCTGCGTGGCGCTGGGCAAATGAACCCACCTACGGAATGGATTATTATAGGACCTACCGCGAAGGAATGGGATGCTGGGGGCATTCTATGACTTGCTTCTAAAGCACAGGGTGGGTACAAGGACGCCTGCAGCCTCTGTTCCGGGTGCTGTGTCAGAACCGTGATGACATTTGTGTAGCAGACAGCAGAGCCAAGAGATGTGTCACTGAGTTGCTGAATTGACTCACTCTGCCTCTGGGCTCCATCACTTGCTAACACTTCTTTTTACAATTCTTTAAGACACTTTGGTTGGATTTTCTGATATTTGATGCACTGAAAGGCATCATAGTGGTCAAAAGGGAATTTGGAACACAAAGATGGTGTTTCAAATCAGTGAGGAAAAAAATTCAATAATTGGGGTTAGGACAACTGGGAAAGATCGTTGCATCCTTACCTCCCTCCTTCTACCAAAATAAATCCCAGATGCACACAAGATTTGGATTTTTTTTCAATATGAAGCAACCCTGGGAGAATTTCTCATCTTGGAGAGGAAGGAGAGGGCCATAAAATAAAAGACTGATCCATTCAACTACATAAAAACTAAAAATGTCTACCTGTCAGAAAATATTATAAACCAGTTTAAAGACACGACCCCTCGTGAAACGGTTGTACCTGAAGAAAATGAAGTTTAGGGTGAAGAGCCTGCCCAAAGTCACCCACTCAGTCACCTGTCAGCTAGTGTTCGGTGAGCACCTACTGCCTACGGGGTAGACATCGCCAGGATGGGAGCTGCGTCCAGGAGCTACCTTCACAGAGCTTCCAATCCAGTGGGAGAGGCCCGGTGCTCACAGCCTCCTCAGGAGGGCGACACTGGGCTTCCTGTGACACCCACTGGGTCCCCGTAGCTGGGCTCTGGGTCCTCATGACTGAGCATCCAGCGTCAGGACCCACGTGGGGGACGAGGCCCCGCTGAGGAAGGGATCGCAGGTTTGCCTCCAGGCACTTAACTGCTCACCGGTGTAGAACTCACAACCTGCATTTCCCGTGAGTCAATTTGGGGGTACTCTGCCTTCTCCTGGGGCTTCCAGGGGACGATGCCAATGCAGAGCCCAGTGAACGTGGTGCTGATTTGTTATTATCCTGGGATAGTAACTGCCTTAGGCGTTGGGGACGAAGAAAAGGACTTGGGACAAATAAAACATGGTGCTGACGTGGAGACAAACAGAAACAATTATAAGTGGAGAAACTGAAGTCCTGAGAGTTGCAGTGATTTGTCAAGTCACAGGCAGAGATAGGACTAGAACCCAGACCTCCTGACTCCAAGGCCCATGCAATATCTAGGACATCTAACTGTGTTTCAGAGAAGGGGCCTTCTGAGCTGGGTTTCATAGGATAAATGGGAGTTTGCCAGATGGTGAGCAGTTTAGGCACAGGAAACAGCAAGTGCAAAGGCCAAGAGGCATGAAATTGGAGGGTTTGTTCAGGAGGCAGCAAGTAGATTAGTGGGGCTGGTTCCAGGCAGGTTCAGGAGAGTTACACGGAAAAAAATGTGGTAGCACACACATATCATCCCTGAGGAAGAAGGTGGCGCTGGTTAAAGCTGTATAGCAGCTTTGGGGTTTTTTAAAGGGCTTTGGGGCTTTGCCTCTTGTTTTAGTCTCACGGAAACCTTGAATTGTATTAAGGGAGGTGTTTTCCCCTTTTGACAGGTAAGGAAATGGGGATGCAGAGGAATTCAGTGATTAGCACGGGGTCTCACAGCAGGAAAGGGAGGAGTGAGGTCTCCAGTCACTCTGCCAGACCAAGAGAGCCAGCCTGCCCTGCAGAACTCTCTAGTCCCCAGACAGGCCCCAAAAGTGGCCCAGCTTGGGGTGGGGGTGGGGGCGAAGCCTGGACCCCCGGGGAAGGCTGTCCCGTCTCACCACAGGCAGCACCAGGGTGGGAGCAACCCCAAAAGCTAAAATAAGGCTCATGTGCTCCAAAAATACTCTGCTGAAAGCACTGCGGTCCTGGAAATGGGCCCGTCTGCTGGCTTCCCGCCTGGGGAATCAGGGTGGAGCACGAAAGCCACACTTCCGTCCCCACCCCGTTTATTTGGGGAGATCAAGCCCTAGCCACCGCCACCGGAGCTGCCTCGATCCATGCAACGCTTGCTGGAGGGAGTCTGGGCACAGACGCAGGAGAGGTCGGTCACCCACTCACCGTTCACCAGCACATCCCAGCGGTGGCCTTGCTGTGCCAGGCCCTGCTCCTGGCATCAGGGCACAGCAGGGAGCACGGCCGACCAAGGTGCAGGAAGCCTGGGGCGGGGAGCAGATCAGGGAGGGTTCATCGTGCTGTGAGGACGCAGTGAGAAGATGCAGACAAGGTCATGAATCCCGCCCGCGTCAGTGCATTGTTCGTTCACTTATTCAGGACCCCCTGTGGGCTTAGCCTAGCTGACCTCGTGGGTTCCTCCCAGCAGCCTCTGAGCTACTGACCTCTGACCTGTCCCCCTTTAACCTCACCACCTTGGCTCCAGACCTTTCTCTTTCTTCTGAAACCCCATCATGGGCCCCTGACCTCAGCGCCTACCTCCAAAGCAAACAGGCAGGCCGGCGGGAGCCTGCAAGCCTTCCTGGCGCTTCTCAGCAGGCAGGTGGCTGCCCTCACCCCACACTTCTGGCCTCCAGCTCCGCAGCCTGGCTCAGACCCTCTCAGCCTCTCTTCTGGAACAAGCACTTGCTTCCTCCCCGACTCCCCTGGGATCTCTCCAGCCGCAGGCCCCTGTCCACACCCGGGCCTGAGAGCCAGCCTGACTCTCAGCTCACACACTCACTTCGTGTTTCTGTCTTCACAGTGTGTTTCCCAAATCTCAGTGATCCCAGGGCCAGCTTGGAAATTTTTGCCTTAGCCATGTGCCACCTGTTCTTTTATTTACTTACCTTTTCCTTCCTCACTGAATTTTAAATGAAAAGGGAATGGGATGTCTTCATCACAAAAGGAAAGCGACCTGTGGCAGACGTGGCTGGTGTCCCCACTGTCTGTTCACACCTTCTCACTTTACATTAGAGCCCTGACTCTTAGCTGCCCAGATCCAGGCTATATTTCCCAACCCCACTTGTAGCAAGGTATGGCCATTCAACCGAAGTTCTGCACATGAGCAGAAGCGGTGGTTGGAACTTCCTCGAAGTATTTTTAAAAGGAGGAGGATGTGCACTTCAGCATCCCCTTCTTCCATCCTTCTAGCTGGAATGCAAACATGATAGCTGGAGCCTGGGCAGCTACATTAGACCATGAGGGAGTATAGCAACAAGATAGAAGGAGGCCGGTTTCCTGATGGTCATGGAACCTCCCTACTGACCTTGGAAGGTTTACCTCAGGACTACATTTGTATGAGAGAAATAAACTTCTCTTACGGAGGCCACTGTGATTTGGGGATTTCAGACGTTTGCCATAAACCCAATACTGATTGGAACACCATGTCACTTGGAGAAAGCAGAAGGTGACAATGAATGCAGTGAAAAATAATATTCTAAAACTGTGGCTCTGAACCCAAGAGCTGCTCTTTCTGTTTAAAAAAAAAAAAAAAAAGACATTAGTCGTCATTAGGCTGAGACCGAATCTCTTTGTTCAGGACTGATGGATAATTGAAAATGGAATGTCTTTCTCACCATGTGACTCGGTGCTATTTACTGCCAGGTCCCTTACCTCACTGCTCCCTAAAATCACCCAGCCGATCACACCCCACAGGCTGAAAGCACAGCACAATAGGAAGAAGCCTGCACGGCTGCCTATTGACACCCCTGCTCCTAGCCTGGAACCACCCTTCCATGCCGTCCCCCAGGGCTCCGCCGTAAGCAGCAGCCCAGCTTCCAGCCTCCGCCCAAACGTTCCCCTGTAGTAGATGTTTCTCAAGCACCCACCGTTTGTGGTTCTGAGCCACCGGTCCAGAGCCAGACAACCACGCCTTGCTCCCTGCTGGGTGGGTGACCTGGGCAAGTGATGTAGCTTCTCCCCACCTCAGTCCTGCTCATCTGTAAAATGGGCATAAAGGGTTACATCCATCGGTACATATCATGTGCTTGGAAAAGAGCCCAGAACTCACGAAGCCTGCCCACCCCCCACAAATTAGCTGCTGTTGTTACATGTCAAGCGAGGGGGCTACAGCGGCGAGCCAGGCAGGTGAGGATTCTGCTCTCCTGGGGAGGCAGGGTAACCTTCTAGAGGCTCGGAAGACACAGCTTCAGCCCTGCCGGCAGCATGACACCCTCTGCGTTGAGCATGTCCCGCTGTGATGGGGGTTGGATGGTGGTGGACCGTTAGGGGCCTGTCTTCCTCACTAGACGGGGGCCCGTGACAATAGGGAACTCAACTGACATTTGACTTCTGAGCACCTAGCCTAGCGGGAGCCTACACACAGCAGGTGTTTCAGGAAACGGTATCAACAGAGGAATGAGCGTGTGAGATACCAGATGGGCAAAGACAGCGAGGCTTAGGGCAAGGTGGCCCAGGGCCCCGACCTCTAGGTGCTCCTTCCAGCCCAGGTCTCCACCCCCAGCCCAGCACCGTTCCTTCTGCAGCCGCAGCAAAAGGCTTTGAGTGGCTTTCTTCCTGGTACAGGTGACCTCACTGACACACGTGTGCATATGTGCAGGTGGAGAAAATGTTAGCTGTGTAGAGCTCAGGCCTTGAAGTCATCAAACTGGGTTTGAATTCAAACTCTCCTGTGCATTTGCTGTGTGGCCCTGGGCAAGCTTACCCGAGCTCTCTGAGCCTCGTCTTCCTCACTGAGAAACGGGCTTTGATGCCGTGATCTATTCCTGTATAACAAACGACCCCAACCCTTAGCAGCTTAGACTACTAGTTATGTCCTGTCTGCCAGGGTTCCTGTGGGTCAGACACTCAGGAGGGCTCAGTGGACTGGTTCTGGTTCCAGGCCTCCAGCTTGGGCTTCCTCCCAATATGGCGGCCTGAGGGTGGCTGAATCACCTACCAGTGGCTCGGGGCTCATAGCCAGTGTGAATCCGCAGCCCATGCAGGTTCAAGGGCAGGGGAATTAGACACCACTCCTTGGTGGGACAGTGGGAAGGTTCTAGAAGAGCCTGTGGGACAGGAGATGTTGTTGAAACCCTCTTTTGGAAAATACAGTTGCCACAGATAACACTCCTGCTGGCCTCAGAGGGGGCCCAGGAGGGTTTCTAGGTGGAAAACACCTGAAACAGCATAGGTGCCTAATAAGTGACCTCTGTGGTGATTACAACCATGATTGATTGGCTCCCCTCCTACCCTTCCTTGGTCAGCTTACATCCTGTTCATGATCCACAGGAATCAGCTCCCATGAGACAGCTGGAAGAAGTAAGGATCTGTTAGTTCACTTGGAGTGGCCCTACGCCCGGCGGAAGGAGTTCCAGGGCACTTAGCCCAGGCCAGGTGAGCTTCAGCGACACCACGTGGGAGCTGGGCATTCACAAGGGGCATTTCCGTTACACCGGGTGAGCACGTGGTGGCCACAATGCCCCACCTGGAGGGCTCAGCCTCCACCATCGGTGTGACAACCTCTTCATAAACAGTCCCTTCCACGTCCTGGAGAGCCTTGTGGCTTGATTTCATCTCCCCTCTGACACAGCAGCACTGAATTAAGAATTTCTGCTGAAGGGAAACTGTCAACGGTAGGGGCCAGAGTATGTCCTTTTCGGACAGCCTTCCCGGATCCATCTTGGCAGCCCTCTTTGTTGCCAGACTCAGGTTCGGCTGCTCATTGCTCAAGAATCCAACACTGAGAGACAAGTGCTGGGTAGAAGGAAAGACAGCTTTACTGGGGAAGCTGGGGAGAAGGTGGACTCATGTCCCCAAGAACCAGCTCCTCCCTCCCCAGGTTTTGCTCAGAGATTTTATAGGGAAAAGAGGAAGGGGCTACGTGCTGGGAAGGGGTTGTGGGGTGTGTATCAGCTCGTGCACGCTCTTCTGATTGGCTGGTGGTGAGCTAACCGAGAGTCAGTGTCATCAGCCTTCTGGTTCCAGCCAGTCAGGGTCTCCACGCCGGTGGTCAGCGTGCAGGTAACTTCTTCCACCTGCTGGGGTTTCAGTCTCTGCAAAACAGCTCAAAGGATGTGGCTCAGAATATGATCTCTGGCCCTTGAGGAGGAACTAAAGGTCCTTGACTCTGTCTAATGGCTAAACTATTATTATTTTGTCTTGCTTGACTATTTTCCTTTGTTTCTGCATATTCTCATTTCCCTGATTAAATTAAATTTATTCCTTGGAACTCAGAAAAGGCCTCAGAGGCTAAAGGTTTTCTACAGACGAGAGGCAGGTGGAGGACGGGGGTGCTGTTTGTTCGGGGAGACCCCATAGGGCCCTCCTGCTCAGTGACAGCCTGACCCCTGATCACAGAGAGCATGAAAGGCCACAGAGGCAGTGGACCCTGGCCTGGGGTATCTTCCATGATCCACCCTCTACTGGGTTGAATAGTGTTCCAAAAAAATTCATGTCCACCTGCGACCTCCAAATGGGACCTTTTTTGGAAATACGGTCTTTGCAGATGTAAATAGGTTAAGACAAGGTCATATTGCAGTAGGGTGGACCCCAAGTCCAATGACTTGTATCCTTCTAAGAAGAGGAAATTTGGACAGAGAGACACATGGGGAGAACACTGTGTGAGGACAGAGGCAGAGGTTGGAGGGATGCAGCTACAAGCCCAGGAATGCCAGGGATTTTCCACAACCTCTAGAAGCTAGAGAGGGGCGTGGGACAGATTCTCCCCCAGAACCTTCAGAAGGAACCAGCCCTGCCAGCACTTTAATTTTAGGACTTCTCACCTCCAGATTGTGTGAGAATATGTTTCTGTTGCTTTAAGACACTCAGTTTGTGGGGTCATTTGTTACAGCAGCTGCAGGTCACACACATACACACCACCACCACTCCTAGCTACACCCACCCTAGCACCCCCCCTAGTTCTGCCCACACCCCCCTTGTTCAGGCGGCCCATTCAGCTCCTCTCTCTGACTTACCAACCATGGCAGAAAAAAGAAAAGATTTTACTCTTTAAAAAGTGCATGTAGGGGCTTCCCTGGTGGCACAGTGGTTGAGAGTCTGCCTGCCGATGCAGGGAACACGGGTTCGTGCCCCAGTCCGGGAAGATCCCACATGCCGTGGAGTGGCTGGGCCCGTGAGCCATGGCCGCTGAGCCTGCGCGTCCAGAGCCTGTGCTCTGCAACGGGAGAAGCCGCAACAGTGAGAGGCCCACGTACTGCAAAAAAAAAAAAAAAAAAAAGGTGCACGTAGGACTTCCCTGGAGGTCCAGTGGTTAAGATTCTGTGCTCCCAATGCAGGGGGCATGGGTTTGATCCCTGGTTGGGGAACTAAGATCCCACATGCCACACAGTGTGGCCTAAAAAATTTTTTTTAAAGTGCATGTAACTATTCACGATAGCCAAGACACGGAAGCAACGTAAATGTCCATCGACAGAGGAATGGATAAAGAAGATGTGGTACATATAGACAATGGACTATTACTCATCCATAAAAAAGAATGAAATAATGTCATTTGCAGCAACATGGGTGGACCTAGAGATTATCATAGTAAGTGCAGTAAGTCAGACTGAGACAAAATACCATATGATATCACTTATACGTGGAATCTATAATATGACACAAATGAACTTTATCTACAAAACAGAAACAGACTTACAGACATAGAGAACAGCCTTGTGGTTGCCAAGGGGGAGGAGGGGTGGGGGAAGGAAGGATTGAGAGTTTGGGACTAGCAGATGCAAACTGTTCTACATAAAACGGATGAAAACCAAGGTCCTACTGTATAGCATGGGGAACTGTATTCCATATCGTGTGATGAACCATAATGGAGAAGGATATGAAAAAGAATGTACATGTATATGTGTAACTGAATCACTTTGCTGTACAGCTGAAACTAACACAACACTGTAAATCAACTCTACCACAATAAAATAAATGCTTAAAATAATGTAATTTAATTTTTAAAAATTAAAAGCTCATTTAAGACCAGGTATTTCGCAGGTATGACTTCTCCCCCCACTTTCTAATCTACGCAGGTCCCAGCTGCATTTGCTCTGTGTCACATCAGGGAGAAAGGATCAGGAGAAACCCTCTCTCCTTGAGTGGGTGGTGGAGGGAGAGGTGGGCAAGACCCCTGGGCCCCTCTCTCTCTCCCACCCACCCCACCACACCCCCGGCCATCGGGACAGGGTGGGCCTTGACTCCACCGGACACTAACTACAGTCCTGTCACCCCGAACTGTAAAATCCTCCCATGGTCCCCTGCCGGCTCGACCTTTAGCATCGGAATCAGCGGTTCCGCACCTCATGCCCACACGTTTTTAATTGTGATAAAATACACGTAACATAGAATTTCCCATCTCAGCCATGTTACACGCACAGTTCAGTGGCATTAAGTAGATTCACATTGCTGCGAACCATCTCCACCATCCGTCTCCAGAACTTTCCATCTTCCCAGACTGAAGCTCTGTCCCCATGAAACACTCGCTCCCCCTCCCCTCCCCCAGCCCCGGGCCCCACCACCCTCCTGTCTGTCTCTGTGGATCTGATGACTCCAGGAACCTCATATGAGTGGAATCCTGCAGGATTTGTCCTTTTATGTCTGGCTTGTTTTTCTCAGTACCATGTCCTCCTGGTTCATCCATATGGTAGCCTGTGTCAGGATTCCAGTGCCGGCTTTTTATAACAAGCAACCCATAAAGCCCTTTTCACTCTCCGGAAATGCAGTGTCTAGAACAATCTAGCACCTTGCCCCTGTCCCCACTAAATGTCCAGTAGAACCCACAACCACCATAACAAGCAACCTGCCCCCCTGCATTTCCCGGACACTCCCTAGGGACGGTCCCCCCACAACCACCCTGAACACTGCTGTCCCAGATGACGCTGGCCCCTGGGGAGGCCAGGGCTCTTTGTTCCTCATCCCCTCCGCAAGTCTCGAGCCCCTGACACCCCTATGAAGTTTCCTCCTTGCAGATTTCATCCCCGTAAGCAAATCACACAGGCAAAAGGCTGCCGAGGGCGGAACCGGTGCACACTCCACCTCTGCGTAGGCTCAGCCGGCAGCGCCCCACAGCTATACCACCATCCTCAGCCGTCACCCTCATTTCAAAGAGGTGGAGATTGAGGCCCAGGGAAGAGGAGAGACTGGGGCTAACGCTCACTGCATGCCTCCCAGGTGCCACGTGCAGTGTGTCCTTGCTGCTGTCAGCATCCCTGAGAGAGACATCATCCCATTTCACAGAAGGGAAGACCGAGGCTCAGAGAGGCAAGGAACTTTGTTCTGGGTCACGTCACAAAGCTGTTTGGTGGCAAAGCCAGAACCAGGAGCTACGACTCCTAATTCTAAGTCAGTACACCCTCCCACCTCCGTGAGGAAGGACAGAGGGGCTCAGACGCCCCTCACCTCTCCCACAGTGGCCGCGGGGTCCCTGTGAGCCTCCAGAACCAGGCTGTGCACCCTGACCCTGTGAGTCAGCGCTCAGAGGGAGCAGCCGCCCTGGTGCCACCCGGTCTCTGCCAGGCACTGCCGTGGCCTTCCCTGGGCCAGGAGGTGATTAATGACCTCGCAGGGAGGATGAGCAGGTAGGACCAGGCGCAGGCATCCCAGCCGAGGCGAGTTTCTCTGTCTGGCTGGTTTCTCTGCAGCTGTTTTCACTTCGCTCCGGAAAATCAGCTTTCCTGCCTCGCCCCGGCCTCCTGCCGCCCCTACTCCAAAAACACCACCTTTGCCCTTGTCCTCCGCCTGGTTCTGCCACTGCTCCCAGCGCTGTGCCTGCTCCTGAGCCTGGCATTCAAGGCCTTGTGCCAACTCCAGCTTCATCCCGTTTCCTGACACAAGCCCTCTTCTCTGGCCAAATTCCTCCCGTCCCCAAAATATGCCCCAGCTTTCCTGCCTCCGAGCCATTGTCTGTGATTCCCCCCATGTCCGCCCTCCTCACGCCATTTCTCCTCCTAGGCTGAGAGGGCAGGTTTGGAGGTAGAGGAACCTGATTATAACCCTGACTTTGCCTTCGTATCAAGCTGTGAGACATCGGGCAAATTCCCGTACCTCTCTGAGCTTCAGTTTCTTCATGTGTAAAACGTCATTCAATTCAATGCATATTGATTGAAATTCTACTGTGTCCGCAACAGTCTGAGAATTCAGCAGCTTGGAAATCTTCTTTTTCACTGTCTATCCTTTTGTACCTTTTCAATGCTGTGTTATATGCAAGTGTTCATTAATTAATTTTTTTAAATTTTTTAAAGATTTTTTGATAATTTTTTATAGTTTTTCTTAGTTGAAGTATAGTTGATTTACAATGTGTGTTAGCTTCAGGTGTACCGCGAGTGATTCCGTTATATATACATATACGTGTGTGTGTGTGTGTGTGTATATGAATATATGTATATTCTTTTTCAGGTTCTTTTCCCATATAGGTTATTACAAAATATTGAGTAGAGTTCCCTGTGCTGTACAGTATATCTATTTTATATATTATTGTTTATCTATTTTATATAGTGTGTCTATGTGACTCCCAATAAAAGTTTTATTAAAATAATAATTCCTAATGAAATAAGACTTAGAAAAGGGAAGGATATCTCACTCCAAAGGCTGCCACGAGGATGAAGGGAGATTTTACATGTAAAGTACCCAGTCTAGTGTCCAGCAAAGAAGTGCTCACCAAATCAGAGCTTCATCAAAATGCTGCCCTCTCAGCTCCTCTAATAAGACTTCTTCAGTTAAACCTGATCCCCACCTCCTCCAGGGTCTCATGACACCTTTGCTTGTCCTATTCCATCCATCCACCCATCCAGCCCTAATACAGCTATCCACTCATCAATTATTTATTGCATACCTACAATGTGCCAGGGCCTGTGCCAGGAGGGCAGGAGATAATGACAAAACAGCCCCAGTCCTTCCCCTCATGGGGACAACTGTCAGGCGGGGGAGAGACACCACCAGAAAATATTTACTATACGGCATTCGAGCTTTGCTAGATTACGTACAGAGTAAGTGCGCGCCATGGAGCACACAGAGATGGCACATGACTTGCAGAAAAGCAGCATCTAAGTCGAGACCTGAAGGTGGCACAGG